TTGATTATAATCTTAGATCACGCGTACTCATCTGTATGCTTCCATTAGACAAAACATGAATTATGTAAATTGCTCCTTTTTCACGGTCCATTATTACTCTTACTTGGCGCTTCTCTGAATTAATGGTTGCAAACAACAAATGTTTTCATTTTCTTGTGAATAGCTATCAAGGTTTTAGCCTTATGCTCCCTATTTTGTTAAGGATTCAATTTTTTCCGTCTCTAAAATTGTAGTTTTATAGATCAGGGAATCTGGTAGATGGAGATCCTGGTATTGCTAGTGGGGATGAGACAGTAAGTTGGCAAATAATAAACATTGGTTCTTCAGTAGTGCAAGCTTCCTTTTGGAGGCTGAAATTTCAGAAAGTCTCCTCAGCATTGACGTAGAAAGAATTCTCCGTTCTCAGGTACCGTACCATTCTCTCTCGTGGTGCAAAAGCTGGCTCGGACCAAAAGTGAACATAACAAGGGCTCCTCAGGTATCCATGTTCATTTATTATTTAGTTATCATCATACAAATAGGCTTTCCGATTTTCATGAACAAAAGAATGTGTAATTTGTGCTGGACTTGTACCAAGGGTAAATCGCATACGGATATTTAACGTAGTCAGAACATGATGTAGTCATAATTTGTGCTGGACTTGTACCAAGGGTAAATCACATTTCTATAATCGGTATTTAATATTATGAATGCATACGGATATTTTGAGTTGACTGATTCCTATTCTTGAAGGGCCTCTTTTATATTGAGATCTAATTGGCTTGTTTTTACACAATGTAGTCAGAACATGATGGGTCAGATGTACAGATTGATATGAATGTAGAGAATAACCGTGAAGAAGATATTGTTCCTAACATGACTAGGTCTCAGAGAGGCAAGTATATAACTTACTATGAAGACTCAGAAAGCATTCCAGGGAAAAGAACTGCTGTATGGGAGCTTGATAAAGGTATGTGGCAATCAACTTTACTGAAGGACGGTTTCGAAGTTTACTTACATTTGACACTTGGATAAAATGCAATTTGTGGTTTACAGGCCCAATGTTAAATGGGTTGCTCATTATGGAAAGAAACAACTTGAGATTTTATCCATTTTAATTTGGGAAATCCTTGGGAATTAAAAAGGTTTTTTGGACTACATATCTTAAAAATCTCATTAAATGAAGGCAAAAATTGTTTCTTTTCTGATTTTACCAACTTTATATGGATTTGTATTTTGGTTTAGTAAGTATTCTTGAGTTCTGCAATTAACTGGAAAGAGGGGAGAGAGAGAGAGAGACAGAAGAAGAAGAAGATACGGGTCGGGCGGTCTGATGCGTGTACAAGAAAGCTGAGAATAAATCTTTAGATCTTGCATTCTGCATTCATTTCAAGCTTACACACATAATTAGTCTCACACCATTAAAATGTATTATTATTGACACTATCTCCATATAGTTAATCACAGAAACATCGTGAGATCGCCTGTTCTAATGCGAGAATTATGGCTCCAGATGTTGCATGATATCCATCCCAATGCCAAGTCAAGCTTCGTTACCAAAGGTGAATTTCATTTACATTTTTTTTTTTTGTTCATTCGCTTCGTCTTCTTCGTGAGACTAACAACAAACTTTCACAGCTAAGCGTGGGCCTTTGAGGGACGAGGATTGTTACTGGGACTATGGAAAAGCTCGGTGTGCCTGGCCTGAGTACTGTGAATACAGGTGACCCCCCCTTCTGGAGAAAATTAATCTACCATATTTTGGATCAGTTCACTATCTTTTACTTCGTTTATGGCCTTTTTTAAAGACTTCGTTTATGGCTGTGCAGATATGTTTTTGGGGACGTTCACCTCGGACAGAGCTGTAGGATAAAAAATAACTCAACGGATGTGCTCTCACATTATTTATAGATTAAAAGGTAAGAATCATTCTCTGGCGATTCTTTTGGGTCCCGGAAGTAGTGTAAGTTCTGGTGGAGCAAAATTAAGTATGTGGTGTTTTATGTGGATTGGAAGGAAGTGTACATAACCAGTCTCCACTGATATCATTCCATTAAATATTAGCTGAAATAAGTCCCAAAACTTTCTATTTTGAATTTGATAGGTTTTAAAAGTTTAAAAGTTTCAAATAGATTTTTTACCTTTCAAAATTTATTGGGTCGTTTGTTTAAAAAAGTTCAAGGTCCTTATCAATACAGTCTTTAATTTTTTTATCTACCTTACTTTTTCTATATTGTCTTCAATAAATTCATAAATCTTTTTAAAAAGGTCCAGCAAATCAAAATTCTTTTAGATACTTTTGAAGTTTAAGGATTTATGAAATTGTCTCTTGTCAAAAAAAAAAAAAAAAAAAAAAAAATTTAAGGATTTATAGACAAAAAATTAATAGTGTAGGCTTCATTTGATAATTGTTTTTGCTCCGTTTAATATTGATTTTGTTTTTTGTTTTCTGTTTTTGAAATTTATGCTTGTTTTCTCGTTGTTTTGTGGTATGGTTTTCACCTTTTTTTAAAAAAATTCTTAGTCTAATTCTAAACACAAAACAACATTTATTTTTAACTAGTATTTTAGTTTTAAAATCTGGCTTGGTTTTTTTAAATATTTGTAAAAGTTAGATAACAAAACAAACTTAGTGTTTATAAGTGTAATTTTGAAAAACCTTAACCAATATCTTAGTTTTTGATTTTTTGGTCTTTTAAAATGAAGAGTATAAACGCTAGTTCTTTCTATCGACAGTTTTATTGTCTACATTGAAAAAAAACCAAATGATCATTAGATAGAGACTTAGAAACTTATTAGACACCTTTTGAAGTTGAAGTTGAAGTTGAAGTTGAACAAAACCGTTCTGTATAATTTTATTGAATAGTTATATTGATTAATTCTTGATCCTCCTAAAGGAACTCTTATGCTTAGTAAGAAACAATAAGATTTACTATGATTAGCTTGGTCAAAGAATAGTTCCTCAGCACTTTACAAGTAGATAGAAAAATGGAAACATTCAACATCAGCTCCTTTGTGCTCTTGATCTTTTAGGTTTTGACTTCATGAAAATCTATTTTCTCCAGCAGTTGTCTTCCATCATTTCACATGCAGGTATTCCAATGGCGGGTGTCATCCATTGCTCAATTATTTCTGCTAGCCAAACTGGAAAATTCCAGCTAAAATGGAGGTTTGTTACTCTCCAGAGTTGGGAGAAACTGGGGCGTTGAATTCTTGAGGGTAACGATCATTTGCTATTGACGTTCATTGTTTTAGGCAGAGGTAAATATTACGAGAGTTTCACTTCCAATTATATGTAATTAACGCTCAGTTGCTTGTATGCCATTGAAAATAATGCCCCAGAATTTTGTTGAGATGGCTTGCTTGTATGCTCTGCCAATGTAATGATGCTCATGTTATGGAAAAGAAAACATATTCTGATAGAATTTGATAGCAATTGATTAGTCAAGGTTTGTGTTCCAGTTTCTCAGGGCCAAGTTCATCTTTCAAAGTGCTTATATGCAAATCTTGATATAGTATGCACCATATCTTGCTGTTATTTTTCTCTGTTCTGAAGGGATGGTAAGGATGGAGAGAAATAAATTGGAATGGTGAGATTCCACGTCGGTTAGAGAGGAGACCGAAACATTCCTTATAAGGATGTAGAAACCTCTCTGTAGTGGATGCGTTTTGAAACATTGAAGGGAAAACTCAAAGAAGACAATTGCGTTTTGAAACATTGAAGGGAAACTCGGAAAGGAAAACTCACCGAAGATAATATTTGCTAGCGGTGTGTTTGAATTGTTACAAATGGTATCAGAGCTAGACACTGGGCAGTATGTAATGAGGATGTTGGGCTCTCAAAAGGGTGGACTATGAGATCTCACATCGGGGAACGAAACATTCCTTACAAGGGTGTGAAAGTCTCTCTCTAGTGGGCGCATTTTAAGACTTCCCCTAGAAGAGAAAATCCAAATAGGACAATATCTACTAGCGGTGGGTTTGAGTTACAAATTATATCAGAACTGGAAAAACCCGAATATGACGATATCTGTTAGCAATGGGTTTGAGTTGTTACAAATGGTATCAGATCTGGGAAAATCCAAGTAGGACAATATCTGCTGGCGGTGGGTTTGAGGTTTTACAAATGGTATCAAAGGTAGACACCAAGCAGTGTGCAAATGAGGACTTTGGACTCCAAAGGGGTGGATGGTAAGATCTCACATCAGGGTGGATGGTAAGATCTCACATGAGGGAACTAATAATTAAAAGTAATATGTTTTAAATTTGTTATTTCCTTATACTTTTTAATATATTATCTCCATAATTCCACTATTAATGAATAATTTTGCATCAAGTTTTCTCTAAAACAAAAGTTTTCCGTTTGGAGGGTTCGTTTGGAGTATATAATAAAGATGTTTATATGATTCAATAATTCGACTAACTCGTACAATCTAACCTAAACCATTGGTTGAATTAGATTTTTTTTTTCTTGGATTTACAAGTTGGCATTATTTTAGACATAACACGAAAATAGTGTTACAATCCAACCCAACCATCCCTATTTTGAAAAAATTAAAAATATTTAATGTTTATAACCAACGTTATTAATGCATTTGATGAGATTTCAGTTATTAATGTAACATGTATAATGTATTATAGATAAGGTTTTTTTTTTTTTTTAATAAACAACTTGACAACCCAACTCAACTTCGAGTGAAGTTGGGTTGGGTTGTGGACTTTATTCAAGTTGCTCGTGCCACCAATCTATCCAACCCAAAATTTCGAGTTGGTCCAAAAGATTATTTCAACCCAACCTATTAGACCGGATTCTCTCTCTCTCTTCAATGTACAAACTTTAAAATTTCTATGGAAAAATAGGCAAATTTGGATTTAGTTGAGTTGTGCTTATTACGATTACACAAGCTCACGTAAAGGCGTGAATAAGTAAGGTCAAGGGGTGGCACGCTTCTTCGGAAAAGAGGTTCCTACTTTAATATATAAATTAAGAAAAAAAAAGGGCGAAATTCCAAAAGAATTGATTTTGACTGAGGGAAAGAGAAACTTTTCCATTTATTGATTTTGTGTTGTACAATATGAGGGTATAATATAGATTTTGAAGCAAAAGATACAATAAAAATAATTAAAAAAAGAAAAAGAAAACTTGAGCAGAGCTGTTTTATCTAAAGGGTTCAACAGGAGCAGACTCTTCAAGAAAAGCTGCAGCCTCAAAACATTCAACAGCTTCAACCAATGAAGACTTGGTTCCTTCAGATTTGTAGAACAGCCCGAGATTGTACCATGCAGCATGGTTCGTCTGGTCGAGCCGTAGAGCATCCATCAAAAAACTGCGTACAACGGGATGTGATCGGTGGCCGAGATGTCTGATAGTCACGGCAGATGAAACCAAGCTCGGGACATGAATGGGATCAATGTCCAGAGCAGCCATAAAAGCTTTCAGAGCTTCTTTATACAAGCCTTTTGCTTCATAAAGCATACCTGTAATCAATTCACAAGCGTTCCAAACACCACCCTCAGATGACTGAACTAAACAGTTTAACAACGAAGTAGAACTGTTCGTGGGCGAAACTCGAAAATAGTCCATTCGAAACAAAAGAGAAGCTAACAGTTAAGTAAGAAGGATTACCTGTAATATGACATCTAGAAGCCGAATGAGAACAGATGGCCTTTGACTTCGAAAGGCAGGCCTCGGCATCGTGCCACTGCGAGAGCCTTATGTAGACTAGAGCTAGATCATGCCACACTTCCATTTGCAATCTTCTAGTACTGCTCCGTAGCTTCTTATCTCCCGAACCGAAACTTTTACTCCGAATTTGAAAAATAGCTAGTAATCGACTGTAAGTCTCGATAGCACCTTTAAACTCATCCTGTGCAAGTAGAAGCTTTGCTTTTGTTCGAAGCAACTCGCCTTGATCCCATTTCCCTGTTTGATCCAGAGCTGCATTTATAATACTTTCGCTATCGGTATATCGTTGTTGGGCGGAGAGAATCCGAGCCAGTAGTAACCAAGTTTTGATATTAGATCCACCTTCCAGCTTGAGACACTTCCTTGCATAATGAAATGCTGAATCTAAATTCCTCTCGTCTGCATATTGAAGACTCGAATGATAGAGAACATTCGGGTTGGTCATTCTAGTCTTCTTCCGTGCAGCTTCGATGGCCTCCATTGCCTCACATTGTCTGGAGGACTTCTCGGAATCTGCAACGGCGAATTTCGAATACACAGACAGTGAGATACCCAACAAACAATTGGCAACACCTTCCAATTGATCACATCCATTATCCAGGCTTTTCAGAGCTCTATAAGCGAAACTCGTTCCCTCTTCGGCAAGCTCGCAGTTTTCTCCACAAATCTTCGACGCCATCAGTAAAGGGGGAAGTGATTTAGGATCCTCATGACTGCCCAACACTTTCCTCAACAGATTCAAAGCAGCTAAGTCTTCACCTGCTCCATAATAACAAAGAGCTAGAGCATGGTACCTTTCTTGTCTATGTAGAATCCCAGGAGGCAATTCCTCTATTTGACCTGCTAAAGCCCTTGTATCCCCTGATATTGTTAGTGCAAAGGAGAGGTGATCCAAGATTGATGGATCCCAATCAATCCTTTTAAGAATAACTTTTCTAAGAAGTATCATAAATAAGAGTATAGCTTCTTCAATATTGTTTTTTGGTACAAATGAGCTGTCCATTTGCGACCGAAGATTAGGAGGGCATGCTTCGGTTCCACTGTACAGAAGAAAAATGGCAAACTCTTTCTGAATTCGAGCAGTGGTTCCCGCATCAAGGTTCCACAGATGAAGAAGTGCCCGCCGGTACGAAAGGATCGCTTCTTGAGAACCATCAGCTAGCTTCCATAACTCCGGTAGCAGCTCCGCTGACTTTGTAACAGTCTCCTGCAATTTACAATCAGCACCAAAGTTTTCAGGCAAGCCTTCAGGGAACGAAGATTCGAGTATGTCCAGAATAACTTTGCAAGTTCGAGCAGCTTCTGCAAAAATTGTGGAAAACGTAGGTCAGCTACGGATCAACGTCTTGAAGAGTTTGACAAAAGACATAGATTCCCAAAACTCAACTAATAAACAGTACCTCCGAACTTCCCAAGGGCTTGCAGTGATTTTGATTTGAAAAAGATGCCTTCCAAGAGTAAACTGACAGTATGCATCGACATTGGTGGAGTAGTAAAACTTTGCGATCGTCTTCTCGGACAGTCTCCTCTTCTACCTATGGAGATCATTATCTTACTAGTTATAGCAGCAATGTCTATTCCTTCAAATACATGAAGAGCAGCTTCAATATTTCCCTTTTGATATTCATATCTCCCCAGTAATGCTCTTGCTTCCTTTAAACAGCAGGTATAAATTAATTACAACCTTTTCAGAGATGAACTTCAGAAAACTAGTAGCTATGAGTTGTTTCTCTTCGATTTATTTTCATGATTCTCATATAAACTACTATAACAGCCCAAGCCCATCGCAGATATTGTCCGCTTTGACCCATTACGTATCATCGTCAGCCTCAGCGTCTACTAGAGAGAGGTTTCCACACCCTTATAAGGAATATTTTCGTTTCTCTCTCCAACCGATGTGGAATATCAAAATCCACTCTCCTTGAGAGCCCATTGTTCTCAATGGCACACCGCACGATATCTGGCTCTGATACTATTTGTAACCACCCAAGCCCACTACTAGCAAATATTGTTCTCGTTGGGTTTTCCCTCCCAGGCTTCTACTCAAGGTTTTTAAAATGCATCTACTAAGGAGAGGTTTCCACACTCGTATAAGGAATGGTTCGTTCCCCTCTCACCAAACTCCATTTTTGTAACACAATGCCTTCAGATTGATAATCATCAACAACTGACCAAGAACTCATATAAGCAGAGGTCAATTTGCATTCAACACCCAAAAGAATCGTGATCATTTAGCACCAAAAAGAAAGCTTGCTTATGTTTTTTTTTTTTTTGTTTTCACTCTAGAATCTTGCTTCTTTGTTCCATAGAATCATCCATAAACAAGTTTGTAGAGGAAACAATAAACCAAGAAAGATCACATGCAAGCTAGAAAGCTTAAGGATTCTAACCTCATAATTCAAAGAACCACTCTCACGAAGCGAGGACTCGGCTTCTTCTATATTGCCAATTTCTGGCTTCTTGTTGATCTCGCTAGTCCGTGAAGAGCGCCCACTGGCTGAATTCTCCACAGGCAAAGGCGATTCTGATGCAGGAATCCCATCATCCCCAGCTGCTTTCTCACCAGAACATAAGCACTTCATTATCTTCCTAATATTCCCCCCTCTTCCAGCGCTCCTCCCCCTTCTTATCTTAACGTCGCTCTTCATATTGTTTGCCTGCAGCCAAAAATCTTCAACCACACAAACATGACCTTCACTAATTTCTCCTAAATCTATTCACTGAGCCACAAACACAAATATCTCATCAATGTCTATGAATTCCAGATCAAAACTCGGAAAACAACAAGGATGAATTCTAGATAGTAAAATCGCTTCAAGCGACAAAGAAATCGAGTCATTAATTTTGAAATCCCCAAACATGTCGTTCTTGAACTCGACGAAAAGCTTAAAAATCAAGCCGTTACAGTCGAACTCAGTCTCGTTCAAGCAAAATCCATCAACGAAAACCAAAAAGAACCGAAGAATTGGTGATGAAAAATTGAAAATCAATACAGTACAAAGAAGCAACTGAAGCAAGTAAAAAAACAGTAGAAGCAAAGGTAAAGAGTATGAACAAACACCTTTTATTTCGCCAAAAGTAAAAGGAGAGTGAGGGAAGGGAAAATCCAGAAACAGCAATACCCATGGACTTGAATTCTTCTGTTCAACAAATCAATCAATCAAGACCTGCTTTGAATCGTTTTGAAAATTAAGAACAGCAACGCAATAAAGCAGATGAAAGCTTGAACAATCTTTTACTTTATTGCTGCTTTTAGTAGACGATTCTGAGATTTGCTTTCGGATGAAAACAAGGAACCAAATGAAGAAAAGAAAAAGAAAAAGAGAAAAAAAAAAAAAAATGGAGGAAACAGAATCCTAGAGAAGACGATCTTTGGCCTTTTGGGGGCTTAGAATTTGAGAGAATTTTTTATTGAGCCAAAATGGAGCGTTTGGGTCCCACCCTCCAAAGTTACCACGTGGCCTGAGGATTATCTTTGCCACGTGGCACTCATTACGCGCCGGCGGTAAACCGTTTTTCACTGTACTGTCAGAATATTGTCAGAGGTTGTCAGATACTGTTTTTTTCTCTTTTTTTTCTTTTCTCTTTTTAATTCTTTTTTAAATATTTATTTATTTATTACTCTTCGCGAATTCACGTTTTTATGTTGAAATTTATGTGTTTTTTTTTTTATAAATTTATTTAATGTTTAATGTGTGGGTTACTGTGAACTTAGTTCTCTCTAAGCTTTATTTTAAAATAGGAGTGTTTATATGATTCGATAATTTGATCAGCTTAATTGTGTTAGTTTTTTTTTTTGTTCAGATATTGAAATTTTGAAAAATAAGTGATATATTTTCATGGGTTGACATTTTTTTTTAGTTAGGTCAATTCGACCAATCCGAAAATAGGATTACAATCTAACTCAATCTTATCCGACATTATTTTTCATATTATTATGACGATTAAGAATATTTTGACGTTTGTTACTACGTTGGTGATACGTAGCCACTTGTGAGTGTTTGATATTTGAGTTTTATGAGATTTTAGTTATTAATGTAACATGTATCAGGGATAAATATGATTTAAAAAAAAATAAAACAACCCGAAGGTTTGAGGCGAATTAATGAAAGTTGAACATATAGTAAAAATTGAAACGCTATAATTTGATAAAATTAAAAGTTCATAAGAATTATTTTCTTTTCTAAATTCAAAAAGAATTTTGGGAAATCCGACGTGGAAATTAATTTTGGTGTAAATATTATTCCTTTTATTATAAGTTCTTCCAATTTGTACTTCAAAATATTAATTTATTTACAATTATATATTAGCCCAAAAGGTATTTTTTTTTTCTCCATTTACAAATTTTATTAATTATTAAAAAGATCCATAAATACTTTACATTGATTTTTTTTTCTTTAAAAAAAAAATGAAAATTTGATATTTATTTTTATTAGTTATGCAAATTTAAAAATATATATATTTTTAAACTTATATAAAAATGTACTTTCGATTTAAATATCAACGTTTAAATATCATACTGAATTAATATTAAATTTAAAAATAAAGTATTTTAAGTAAGTCGTGGAAAGTCTATGACTTTATAAATATGAAATAACCCTTCAACCATCAATCAATAATACCTTTATACTTTTGTTTAAATATTATAATTATTAATTTATATGTCGTGCAATTTCTAAATATTAAATGTGCTGAAAAATAGGTAAAGTGGGACCCACATCCAATATTATACTTTAATAATTAGACCCAATAAAAACAAAAGATTATTCCAATTATGAATTATATTAAAAAGAATGTTATTCTTTCTTCTTTATATAATGTCTCTTTAAAAAATCTCTCTCTGCTTTCGTTTTTTAAAACCTTTTCTTAAACCGAGGTTAGAAGTTCGAGCAGACGTCGCTTGCCCGTAGACGACGCAAGAACAAATTAGCTTAGCTCATTTGTCGTTGGAAAGTGAGTGCTGCACAATCGCAAGTCTGCTACCACCAAAAGTGCAATGGTGACAAGTGGTATATATATATTATAAATTTATATTAAATAAATGGTATTTCTTTTTAAATATGTGTCACTATAAAATTAAACCTAATACACAATAAAAAAAAAAATGACGCTTAGTTATTATATTATATAGTTTTTAATTTTTTTTTTCACTTAAATTTTAATTTACTATTATTATCATATTATCATTTACATCTCTATATGTATTTATTTTTTTGAGCTATAACAAATTAATTAATTATTTAATTTATTTAAAAAATAATTATTAATATTAATGGCTAAATAAACTAAAAACCCTAAAACTTAATGCTATTTATAATATATTTATTAATGAATGAAAATTAAATTAAAATTTAAGGTATATTATTACTTTATTAATAAATTATTATAAATTTATAAATATATCTCATTTAATATAGTTTACTCTACTTGTATCGGTCTAAATGTTTAGAATGAAAGTATAATTATTAAGATTTATTAGAAAATAAATTAAAATACCTAACATTCTGAAAATTAAATTAAATAATTATCATAAACCGCCCTTAAAGTTGACCACTATTTACGATTTTACCTGGGTTTTATCCTTTCCATGGAGAGAGAGCATTTGGACATGGGTTTATAAACCCTCGATTGAAGCGATTATCATCCCATAAACCCTGTATCTTTGATGTCTATTCATCCCTCCAGCGCGCTTGTGAGTTCGTAATAGCTCGAAAATCTGGACCGGGGAAGCTCCAAATATCTTCAGACAGAGCGATTTCTCTGCTTTCAGCTGGCTCACAGTAACAGTATGTTCAAAATTGATTCGAAACTTGCTCAAATCTCCACTCGTTTACTGTTCTTATGCCTGTATTATCGGATTTGATTATCTTTCATTTTCTTTTTGTACGCAAGTGTTGTGAAATACCATCTTCTAGGTCTGAAGGAAGGAGGAAGTGGAATTGGGATTCAATTATTTGCTTCCAATGATCCCTTGCGTCTTGTTTTTGCTGTCTTTTTGCTGCCGTTTGAAGTGTTTTCTGCTTTGTTTTAATGGATTTCTCTTCATATTTAAGCCTGCGCCTCTTTCTTTGTGTACTAATTCGATGCATACAGATGAAGTGAGCGAGAGATTGTGTGTGTAAAGAGAGAATACTGAGAGAAAATCTATGCCATAGAGAAATTTGTACAAAGAAATGTTATAAATTGTCACGAAGAATAAGTTCATGAATCGTGGGAGAGTAGTTTAGTCTCGTCCGTTCATGAATCTTGGGAGAGTAGTTTAGTCTCGTTCGTTCATGAATCTTGGGAGAGTAGTTTAGTCTCGTTCGTTCATGAATCTTGGGAGAGTAGTTTAGTCTCGTTCATCTAGCGGAACACTTTCTATATATCAGTCAGTTGTTTCAATCAAAGATAGTTCCATTCTATCTTAGACGATCTGTAGTTACTTGACTCTTCAGCCCCTCAGGGCACTATTAGAGAGTCCATTGGGGCCCGTCACTTTCTCAATATCAAATGGAAGTTGTCGAGATGAGCTATTGTGATTATATGTCATTTCTTTGCCCGGAGAGAAGATGGGAGTATGGTAAACTAAGAGTTTCTAACTAGGTTCGAGAGTAAGTAGCTCGATGGTAAAGCAGCTAATTCATTTATTCTTGAACAATCTCTTTCAATAAACTTAGAGATTCGTGAACATTTTTTGGTGCATTCCCCTTTCCTATACATGTATTGGAATTCATTTGGTTCATCTTCTATTCATTTGGTTCATCACTCACTTTTGGTTCATCTCCCATTTTGATATGTGAATCATCTTGATTCATGTATGACATTGATGTTTTTATGACTATATAAAGGGTTGTCTTGGATGGTTGAGAGGTATTGAGATTGTGTCATTTTGTATTTACATAATGGCATTTGAAAGGAATTTTGTTGAGTCAGACATTGTACCGTGAGAGGGTGAGATATAAACTTTGTGAACACTTTGATTATTGAGATTGGTTGCCGCCCATAGATGTAGGGGAATTTCTTCTCTCTGAACCACGTAAATCTTTGTGTCTTTTTGTTTAATTTCTGTTTGTGGGTGTGTGAATGTGATCGATCTTGTTTCCGCTTTTGTTACAACAAGAAATTGGTGGAGTGTATGGTGGGAAGGTAATGAGAGTTCCCCTGCTCGAGCACAACTCAACTCATTTAGGCATATGTCTTCGACAAGATGTTAGAGGATTGAATCCGACAACCCTACGTGTTTTGAAAAGTGTTTCTGAATTTGTAAATATTTGAATTTGAAAGTGCTTTTAACCACCTAAAAGTACTTCTACTATGGTAGAAATGTACTCCCAGGCATAGCTTTAGCTGGGTTTTTTGTCTGTTTTATTACAGTGAAGCCTGAAACTCATACAAGGGAACAATTAGGTATGTTTTGATGATTGTGGAAAATCAATTTATGACAATGGTTTGTAAAATTAAATTTGTTTCTATGGTTAGGTATTGACATAAAGTCGACGTGTAAGCTTACGAGGAGACCTAGTTGAGATATTCAGTTAAGTCGAGGTCTAACTGCAGAGTATTGGGGCATGAGCGCCTTTGTTTGTGTTTAGTTTTGTTATCGATTTCGGTCTCATCTGCGTTCCCGACGTCCAAGCTCCTTTTGCTCCTTTCTGTTCTTAACAGGTTTCAGTCTATGCCTTTGGGAAACTGAGAAAATGATGTTTCTCCAAGCCCCTTCTATCTCGATGCCGGTTTCACCTCAATATACAGTTTATAATGCTTCTACTCTGCATCGATTCTTAACCGTTCCTATTGAGTATCAGACTTTTAAGCCGTCTTGTTATTCTAGATTTCATTCAGTCAGTATTTTGCCGAATCTTGTACACTTTAGCCACAGCCGAAAACTTCCTTGCCTTGTTGTTTCTTCTAAATCGAGTTCAGAACATGATTCTCAGCCTAGTGCTGATTCTAAAGTGAAACCAAAGTCAAGAAGTCGCAGCAGGAAAAGCAAGGCTTCTGAAAAGGAGGAAGAAAACGACGATAGGATTTTCCCGACAACAATCCCAAGGAAGCCTCGACGTGGTCGTAGAAGTGAAGCTGCAGCTCTTGAAGATTATGTTCGTAACACACTTGAACAAACATTTGCATCAATACGACAGAAAAATGCAGAAGTAATGGAAAATAAGGAAAATGTATTCAAGGAAAAGGTTGATGACGAGGTTGATCCTGAAAGTAGTGACGATGAAGAGGACGAGGACGAGGACGAAGAAGAGGAGGTAGAAAAAAGTGATGGAACTGGACGGAATAAGAAAAAGAAGAAGAAGATAGTGGTGGAGGAAGAAGATCCAAATTGGCCTTTGGATGCCGATGTGGGATGGGGAGTTCGAGCATCGGAGTACTTT